AGGGATTTGAACCGCTGACCTGCTGATCTAGCAGTAGCCTGCAGTGCTGCATTTAACCACTGCGCCACCTTGGCTCTTGCTGACATAGTAATCCTCTCAGAGAGTGCTAGGTGCCTCAGTGGCTAAGACAATAAGCATGTCAATCAGAAAGGTCGGCAGTTCAGCATTTCGAATCCCTAATACAGGTCTCCTGCATGGGCAGGGGGTTGGACTAGATGACCTCCAAGGTCCCTTCCAACTCTCTTACTGTTTACTTAGTTGTTTACTGCTATAAAGCACTTTGGAGCAGCTGATAAATCTAAGTGCTATTGCTATTATGGTGGTTGAGAATCAAGACTTGCCCTTTAGGTTGAGACGTGTCCAAGAGCAAGGACCACAGTAGGCAGGGCATTGGAAAGGGATGGGGTTTTGCAGAGGTTTCAGGACTGGTTTATTTTTGAAAAGTTCTGTTCAGCCTATTTTTAAGTGTAATCTACAATTTAAATATGTCATAAACCTCAGAGAAACAACACTGTATCACTATTTTAGTCATCATAGTCAAGTAGTAGCTACAATGAATGGCCTGCATCCCTAAAATCACTGGATTTTGCCCACCTATTTTATGAATTGCAGCAATTCAACACTGTTTATATATTTTACATATTTACATATTAAGATTTCTTCCAAAACTTTACCCTTCCATCTTCAAACATCACAGATCTTGGAAAATTGACAACATGCTACAAACAGCTTGAGTAAAAGTATATGGCATTAAGTTAGCACAAGACACTAACAGTATATTCAATATTCAATACAGCCATTTTTTTCAACCCTAGACTCCACAAAAAGATTGAAACTCCTTTAAGTTAAGGTCATAAGTATAAACTTTCCAGCCCAGTAATGTGGCCTAAAAAGACTGGCATGTCCCAGCAGCATGCTGAGCAAAATGGAAAAAAAACAAAATGATACTCTGGCTAGGCATAGGATAGCAGTATAATGCTGTTGTTGGTAAAATCTCATTTGATGAATTAATTAAAATATCCAATATCAAAATCAATATCCTTTCAGAATCACTTTTAATCCAGAGAAACATTTAATCCAATTACTATTACACTGTTTTTTATAAGCTGAATCCTCAGGCAAGTATGAGAAATTGTGTTAGTATTAAAGTTTTTTAAAACAGTCTGCTTAGAACAGTGTTGTGAATATTCCAAGATCTCTGAGAAAACCAATAGGACTTCCTGAAATTAAAGCTGAATGTTTCACCTCTAGAACATCTATTATGTATTTGTGCCTCTCTAAGATCAGATAAAAAAAATAATGACATTCAGGTTGTACCTTACCGCATATCACAGTATTGTTCTGACAAGTCCACTTATATCTGTCTGTTATGGGGTGACAGCCTTGTCGTTGTGCAAAGTCATAACAGCAGTCATGTCTATGGCAGCACCTTTCAGCAACAGAGACTGATTAATATCATTGATGTGAACCCTGATCATCAAGCAGTATGTGGGGCACTGTGAAACTCTCATCTCTAGATCATAATGCTTTACAGCCCTCTCTAAGCATTTTTACATCATATTGCCCCCAACAATCTGGTCCTCATTTTATCGACCTCGGAAGGATGGAAAGCTGAGTCAACTTTAAGCCGGTCCAATTGCTGGCAGTCAGCAGAATTAGACTGCAATACAGCTTTCTAATCATTGTGCCACCACAGCTCTTAGATATTCTTGTCTTAAAATAAAGCTGACTTCATTAAAATGTATTAAACAGAGTGGGATTAATTCAATTGAAGAAAGTAATGGAAATATGAACTTAATAGAGAAAGGTGTACAGTACATACCAATCTGTTTCATCCGTAGGCCATCCGCTTCCCCCTGAACCACAATAGCATCCATAATTTATATAGGCCAAAGGAAATCGCCTTGTACCACATTTTAGGGTTTCATATAATTCAATGAGTCCTCTTTTTTTCACAAAGTGTTTTTTTCCAAGAACACCATTCCATACTGCAAAGGCAGAAATTAAGATTTTACTACATTGAAGTAGCACCATCCAATAGTTGCTTTATCTCTTTTTATACAATCTGCATCTGCATTAATATATACATTATATTCTGTTTGGCTGGAGTGTTGGGCAGCTGTTAGAAAGAAGAGGGAGTTTAGATTAAGCTTTGGGTTGGTATTACCCCTCTCACGTCTGAGGTTGTCTTAACCTCAGTTATTTAACATAGCATTTAACTATAAATCAAAGTAAGTATTGTGGTATTTTAAATAATCTACTTGAAATAGTACTTTAGTTTAGTATGACCACTAAATGTGAAGCAACAAGAGAAAAGACATTTTAGAAGTAGAAAAGGAGAATACTATGGAAGTCCCAATCAACTTCTTGTGTCATCCCCAACTTCCACTGGCTTATGGTCCCCATCAGATATCATGGGGAAATGAAGCTTTCAGAAAATAAATAACCCATCTTTGTCCTCAATATTGCTCAAATCTGCATACAGAAAGTTGCAACATTGCTATTTTGGAGGAACCAACTTCTTACTTCCCATGCAATAGCTTTCAACAAACTCCCTTCCTACATTGGATGATTAAAGATGAACAGAGCTTTCAAGGCACTCCATATATAGTCTATATGAGTATACTGTTTATCTCACAACATTTGCTATGAACTGTGTGTATTGATTTTAAATCTGCACAGGTGTCAAGAAATATGAAAATTAAAACCATGTTAGGAGTGCATCAAATCAATGGAAAACCCAACAAAGTAGAAAGGGCAAGCTTTCAACTTCCTGATTTGAATATAATTCTTTGCTGTTATCTTGGGCACATTTTCAAGACAAAAACAAAACTCCAAACTGAAGAACTGTTTTACAATTGACTTGATTTTGTTTCCCAGGACATTATTTGACTATCAAATATGCATACATGAAAATACAATATTATATTTTTATTACACAGTATTCAACCATAATTTTAAAACTAAAGACAAATATGTGGTTTTTGTTGTAAAAAGAAGATAAAAAACTTAGTAGCCATTGCAACCACTGAATCATAATAGGCGGGTATATGCTTATACAGAAACAGTCTACTTCTACTTAAAGCATGGGTCTTCCAACCCCTGGTCCGTGGATCGGCACCAGGCCACAGCCTGCCAGAAACTGGGCTGCACAAGCCACATCTGCAGGATGCAGGCAGCACGTGAAACTATGCCCCTCCAGTCCATGGAAAAACCTCTCCCCATGGAATAGGTCTCTGGTGCCCAAAAGGTTGGGGACCATTGACTTAAAGGCATGATATTAAAGCATTAAAACTTTAAAGCATATAAATATGCATTGTAGAATTGCTCAAAAGTCATAGGGAAAAAATCTATTTCACGGATAGAAAAATACGTTTGTGTGTGTAGAATCTTAAACCCCTAGAAAAATCTTCTAATTTATTTTTCATTAAAATGTTTTTATTTTCCATTTTTCATTTTCATACAGTCACATATATACTGTGCATAGCCGGGGCCATACAACATTAAACAATAAT